GCTGCCTCTCAGCCTCCCAAAGTGCCTGGCCATATACAGTTGAGCCGCCGTCCCGGCAGCAGCTTGTGTTTTCCTGATTTTATTGTGTTTTTATTTTTTAACTTGGGAAAAAAATTATGTTCTCTTAGGACGTATGGATTTGGGTTGTTTAAATGAAGACTGCGCTTTTAATATTGGAAATCCTCTCCTAGCTAACTTGAACGGCTTCTTGGTTTGGCAAAGCATAAGCCCAACACTCACATGAGTGGAAGGGAACAGAAACGTAACCTGAACTGCTTCTGCACAATAATGCCAAATGGTTTTTCTTTTTGTTTAATAGATCCTGACTCTGGATTACATTTACTGGGGAGTCAGCATGAAATATGTCGGGGTAATGAGGTAGAGGCGAAAAAAGTCCTTCTGTTGACAGCTTGCCAAGGTGTTAAGAGTAAAGGGATGAGCCTTGAGGTGGAAGAGAATTCTTTGCCAGAAAACCGGCCAGGTACTATAGATGCCTCAATAATCTAATAGCACTGTCCTAAATCTTCTCAGCTTTGTTAATGCCCCCAAACTTTCAAAGCAACACCGTGGTTGGTTTTGCCTATGCTTAGGGAGTAGGAGGCGGCTGTTGTCCAACACTTAAGATTTGCTTCCCACCTCTAGAATATGACCCCCACCCCCAGGCAGAGGGTGGTAGCTCAAAGGTGTTGGTGACCTGGTGATTTGAGCTCTAGGTGGTGGCTTTTTGCGCAGAATTCTGGAATTTTTTTTTTTTTTTTTTTTGAGACAGAGTCTTGCTCTGTTGCCTAGGCTAGAGCGCAGTGATGTGATCTCTGCTCACTGCAACCTCCACCTCCCAGGTTCAAGCAATTCTCCTGTCTCAGCCTTACAAGTAGCTGGGATTACAGGAGTGTACCACCATGTCTGGCTAATTTTGTATTTTTCTTTTTTAGTAGAGATGGGGGGGGTCTCACCATGTTGGCCAGGCTGGTCTTGAACTCCTGACCTCAAGTGATCCGCCTGCCTTGGCGTCCCAAAATGCTGGGATTACAGGCATGAGCCCACCACACTCGGCCTGGAATGCTGTCTACTGAGGAAAGGAAGAGGCTGAACTGGGGAATGCCAGGGTTGAAGTTCAAGCAAGTGTAAAACTCTGGCCTTAACTGAATCATGAGTAGGAAACAAGTTAGTCAGGAATGGATTTGTGGGGCATGAAAACCTTTGAGGAGTCTCAGGATTGTTTGGAAGAGGGGACTGAATTTTCTGTCACTCAGTAGGGTGGGATTTGTTTTCAGTTGGTAATTTTTTGATGAGGTGCGTCAGGGTCCCACTCTGTCACCTTGGCTGGAGTGCAGTGGCATGATCACGAGTCAGTGCCGCCTCAACCTCCTGGGCTCAAGCAATCGTCTCACCTCAGCCTATCAAGTAGCTGGGACTACAGGTGCATGCCACCACACCTGGCTAATTTTTGTATTTTTTGTAAAGACGGGGTTTTACTATGTTGCACAGACTGGTCTCAAACTCCTAGGCTCAAGCGATCTGCCCACCTCAGCATCCCAAAGTGCTGGGATTAAGGGCAGGAGCCACCGCGCCCGGCCTATAGTTGACAATTAACTAGAAATGTGACGTTGGAATTATAGAGGGAGGGTAACGAGACTCATTACTTACTAGTGCAGGGTAGGAGACATTAGTGGGCCGCAGGTTTCATCCTTAAATTTCTGTGAAGCCTTTCTTGAGGACATCTGTCCTTTCCTTCTCGCCCTCAGTGTGTGGTTTTCCTTTCTCTGGCTCCCACTGCACTCTGCACACACCTTTATCACAGTAACCACTTACAGTGTATTGTAACTTGTAATTATCTATGTACACGTCTCCAAGTAGACTGACCTCAAGGGCAAGGGACTGGCGCTGGTACTCAGACCCCGGGTTCAAGTTCCAGCTGCATCTCTAGCTAGTTTTGTGATCTTAGGCAAATAACTTAATCACTCTATGACTCAATTTCCTTGACTTATAAAATTGGCATAAGACTGTCATATGCCGTTGCTGGGCATATTAAGGTTACAATGCATGAAAAGTACGAGGCAAAAGGTAAGTGCAAAATAAAGGGCGCCTAAAACGGTATTTGTGTGTTAATTAACCTGAGCTACCTTTACGTGTGCACTCAGCAAACACTGAGCACCTATTCTCCTCTGGGACCCTGGAACGCCTCCTCCGGAGTGGAGCAGCCTCACGTGTGGCCTGTGGGCCTTGTCCCACGGGCCGGCTCGGGGTTGGCTCAGCCGAAGAGAAAACCCTGCCGACAGCCCTTTCGATCTCGTCAGCGATTGGGCCAGGACCGTCCCACAATTACTCTTGTTGCTGGGCTCGGAAATAGGGAGCGGTGCTAGGTTGCGCGTGCGCAGATTGAGAATGGAGCTTTCCGGTCGGGCGGGAGGAGGTGACGTCAGGAGTGGTGGCGGGCGGGGGCCTCTGGTAGCCTTGGGGACGCTGTATCTGTGGGCCCTTCAACCGCGTCACAAATCAGCGACCGAACTCTGGCGGTGGTGGCTGAGACGGCGAAGGCGGCAGCGGCGGCGACAGCTCTGGGGTTTGCGTCTCGGGGTGTGTCGGCCGCCGCTGCTGCTCGGGCCTGGTATGTACAGATGGCTGGTTAGGATTCTCGGCACCATTTTCCGTTTCTGCGACCGGTCGGTGCCCCCTGCCCGGGCCCTCCTGAAGAGGCGGCGCTCAGACAGGTGAGACCAGAGGGGGCTGAGCGCCGGCCTGGCCTTACCCCCTCCCCCACAGCAGGCTCCTCGGCCGTGATAGCTTTGATTCAGCCAGGCTCACCCGAAGCAGGTCGCCGGGATCCTAGTGACGTAGTCGCTCCCGCCGGGCTGTGGGGAGGCAGCTCCTGATGAAGGAGGAGCTGGTCGTCTTCGGAGCGGCCGGTGATGGCCGGGTCTTTGACATTCTTGTCAGAGGCCAAGCTGGTTGCTGATAACAAATGGGGCTTTGCCGCTCTTAGGCTGAACACTAACATTGAAGGAATACTGTCTTTGTTGTGGCTCACTGTTTACAAAGCACCCTCCCAAGTGTCATCTGCAGACATTAAGTGCAGTTAAAGGAAGTGAGATTCATAGCTTGCCCAAAGCCGTTTTGACTGCAAGTACTGTCCTTGCAGCAAGAAACAGCAGCTGTTTTGTTCTAAAACAGCTGTCCAAACAGCTCTGTGTGTTTGGGGCCAGAAGGGTTTTGTGCTTTAGAATTAGTGAATGAGTAAAAAGGTCTTAGGTGCCTCACTCCTTTAAAACATCACTAGTCTTACTTTTAAATTTGGTTAAAATGTGGGGAAAACTCAAAGCTGTTCTTTTCTTTTTTTTTTTTTTTTTTTCCCCGAACGGAGTCTCGCTCTGTCACCCAGCTGGAGTGAGTGGCGCAATCTCGGCTACTGCAAGCTCCGCCTCCCGGGTTCCCCCGCCATTCTCCTGCCGTCAGGCCTCCCGAGTTAGCTGGGACTACAGGCGCCGCCACCTCGCCGGCTAATTTTTTTTGTATTTTTAGTAGAATGGGTTTTCACCGTGTAGCTCAGGATGGTCTCGATCTCCTGACCTCGTGATCCGCCCGTCTCGCCTCCCAAAGTGCTGGGATACAGGCTTGAGCCACCGCGCCGGCCTAAAGCTGTTCTTTTCTTTCTTTCTTTTTCTTTTGGTTGATGACGGAGTTCTTGCTCTGTCGCCCAGGCTGGATGTGCAGTGGCGCGATCTCGGCTCACTGAAAGTCCGTCTCCTCCTCCCCCCACCCCTCCGCCTTGGGTTCAAGCGATTCCCCTGCCTCAGCTCCCAAGTAACTGGAATTACAGGCGTGCACCACCATGCCCTGGCTAATTTTTGTGTTTTTAGTAAGAGATGGGTTTCACCATATTGGCCAGAGCTGGCCTTGAACTCCTGAACCTCAAGTGATCCCCACCACCCAGCCTCTGGAAGTGCTGGGACTGCAGGCATGAGCCCTGCACCCGGCCCCAAAAGCGTGTTCTTATTTAGCATCCTACTCTTGTGGAGTGTCCCATTTTATTGTATCGACCTCCTGCCTGAAATCTAGAAAATAAATACTATACAAATGCGGTGCCACCTCTCCAACTTTAGTGATCAAATGCTAAATTTCTTTTTTTTTTTTTTTCCGAGACGGAGTCTCGCTCTGTCCAGGCTAGAGTGCAGTGGTGCAATTCTCTACTCACTGCAAGCTCCGCCTCCCGAGGTCGCGCCATTCTCCTGCCTCAGCCTCCCGAGTACTGGGATACTAGCGCCCAACCCACGATCCCAGCTAACAATTTTTTTTTTTTTGTAGACGGAATCTCATTTTGTTGCCCAAGCGATTTGAAACAAGGCTAGTGGGCACGATCTCAGCTCACTGCAACCTCTGCCCACTGGGTTCCAGTGATTCCCTGTCTCTTCCTATTCCTCCCTAGTCTGGGATACAGCTCCTGCCACTGCACCCAACTATTTGACTTTTTAGTAGAGTGGGTTTTCACCATCTTGGCCAGGCTGGTCTTGAACTCCTGACCTCGTGATCCATCTTCCTATCCTAGGCCTCCCAAAGTGCTGGATTACAGGCGTGAGCCACCGCGCCCGGCCACGCCCGCTAATTTTTTGTATTTTTAGTAGAGATCGGGGTTTTACCGTGTTAGCCAGGATGGTCCTGGGAATCTCCTGACCTGCGTGATCCACCTGCTCGACATTCCCAAAGACTGGGATGACAGGCGTGAGCTACCGCTCCCGGCTGTTAATTTCATTTTTTTAACTAAGCCTCAATATCAAGAAAAGTGGAAGAAGTGTTCATTTGTGGGAGCTTGAGAGAACAAGATGTCTAATACATTAGACTGAGAATGCAGGTTATTGATGAGATTGGTTGTTGACTAAATTGCATCATGTGTTCCAGAGATTCATGGTTTTGCCTTATTTTTCTCTCCTATCTTTCTGTAGGGTTGATGTGAGGATCATTTGATAATGTGGTGTGAAGTGCCTAAACTGATGCTTACTGTATATAAGGGTAGTGTTTGTCTATTCTACCCTGGGGCCTTTTGCAGAGTCTGGTGCATGATAAGCACTTGGTCCCGATTTATCGAATAAGGGAAAGCTAATTTCCTCTCCCTTGTCCTGTCTTTGATGTGAATCCCTGCTAGTCAGTGGAACATGGTTTGGTGATCAAAACCTTGATTTTTACTATACTTCAGATGTTCACATTCTTAATCCAAAACAATGCTTCTCGGTGTAAACCATTTTTCAGTCAAAATGAAGCCCAGCAGGGCTTGTTGGAATGTATAAAGCTGAGTTGAATAAAATCCTGGGATCTCATTCTATTCTATTCTTTTTTTTTTTTTTTTGGCATGTGTGAATATAATTGATCAGAAGGGTTCAGAGAGATGATAAGTAATATAATATGATCCTTTACCATTCTTGACATCTGGGTCCTGAAACTTTCCACAATTCCAAAGTTCTTTATTACCACCATAATATAGTTTGCGTGATAAAAATGAAGTTAAATATAACCCTTGATTAAGATTTGTCTTTTTTAACTTGTGGAACAGTTTTTTTTTAAACTCCCTTACACACAAAAGAAAAAACAATAAAAAAGAATTGTCTTTTAAGGCTGTTCATATTAATACTGTCACTTAAAGTAAAGATGACTTTCTTTGGGGATCATTTTCAAAAGGAAATTGTTTGTTGGTTGGTTTTTTTTTTTTTTTTTTTGAGACAGAGTCTCACTGTCTCGCCCAGGCTGCAGAGCAGTGGCGCGATCTCGGCTCAC